AGGACTATTGTTTTCGTTTTGCGATTTTGCGTTGAATCACTATAAATGTCCGTTTCACTTTTAAAACTGTTGCTACCAAATGTTAGAGTCTTGCATTATATTTGAAGAAATTAAATAATGAAAACTCTGCATAAATGTATGTTTATTTCTCGCATTGTGACAAAACAACGGTACATAGAGCCATTGCATTTTGAATGACGTAATCCTCCTACGAATATGGGCATGTGGAAGACCAAATTTGAAATTTGGAATTTGTTTTATTATCGATTTCCTATTTTGTAAAACTTCAACAAAATTTGAGTAACAAACTCAACGATTTAAAAGCGAGCAATGGCAACACTCTACGGCGGGAGAAAAAACATTTTATCTCCAGCGGGCGCGAAACTGGGTATCGGAAATTCTAAAGATAAGCTCATTTTAAAATTATTTTGCGACATTGCTACTGAACTGAATTTTATGGTTTAAGTTCAAATAACAGGATATTTAAGAAATAAAGGTAACACACAAAACGTTAAAAAAACGCCTCTTTGGACGTAATTTAAAATCTGAAACCTTTCAGATTTTTTTTACAAGATTTATTTCAAACAAAATTTAAATTCAAAAACATTAATATTTGCATGATTTGAAACCTTTTCGTAATTGAAAGTTTATGCCTTTGATCAAGGGTAGCGCAAATAGAGACCGGATAAGAACTTTAGCGTACATGGTCCATATTGAAACTACCGATTTCGTAGAAGCTAAATGCAGTTAACTTATTCTTTAATTTAGCAAAAAAGAAGTTTTTCATAATGGAACTAATGAAAAATATTCTGTCTACCTTGACAATAGTGTATTTTATCACATTAATCAGAATACTGCAAATCGGCTGGAAATATAACGGGACACTGTAGTTTTGCAAGAGAAAAAACGATGCTTGATTATTAAAGACTTCTTACACATCTGAGTTTCACAAAATTAAAGGATTGCCTAAGATGTTGTAAACGTTAATAAACTGCCTAATTATTACACCTTAAGATAAAACTGAAGTTTTTTTCTTTCACGGCAAATCGGTAAAGGATACACGATCTTAAAAAAAAAAACATGCGTTTACAAAATTTCAGGCATTCAGTAATTTTCTTAAAGCAAACTCTAGAAAACCTGCCAAACGATATTTGGTAATGTACGGTATTTGGTACATTACGTAATGTTCCTCATTCTTTGGCTATAATAAAATGTCGAGGAACCTAGTGAGCTGTGTAACGAATTATCGCTGAGTTCAAACACTAACAACGTAGATTCGAGAAGAATTAAAATACCCTTTTATTCACTCACAAAAATGATAACAGATGGCCCCTTCTCAAGCTTAAAAAAAAGCCTCTACTAGGGCTTTTAAATCAGGATAAAAAAATAAGAAACTAAACTAATACTAATTAAAATAGACCACTATCTAACGTATTTGGCCCTTAATTTAAACTAGCCGGCGGATATAAACAGGCACGTGTAATACGACCGAGCGTCAATAGATTTAAGGATGAAATAGCCAGAAGGCAAACACGCGTCACTAAGGATTCCTAAGCAGCCTCTTTCGAAGTAAGTTGAACTTTCCTTAAATACTACTCCTAATTCATTTGCATTCAACGCGATTTTAAAAACTCATTCTGGTAGGGAGTTGTAAGTGGGAAACAAAAATTGAAAGGAAAGGGTTTCGAAAATAAATGTTATAAAATCAATATACACCTTATAGTAGAATTTATTACACTGATATCTTACACTCTAAATTCGAAAGAGTCCTATCCGACTCTAAAGGAGTGATATCCCACCTCCCTCTAATGCCAAAATGGCACCAACCTCGAAGGAGCGATATTTCACTCTAGTAAAAAGCGGTTCCTTTTCACACTAAAACAGGAGTGACTCTTTCTTCGTTCGCTCTTCTTCGATAGTCAGATATCGCCCGATATTCGGGTGAAACCACACACATTACAAAGAGTTATAATAATAGTCTGCTCACTCCTTGATGGTGCGATTTTTATATAATTATTTTATAGGCAAACTGAAAATTGGTATTTGCTATGTAATATTTCTTGTATCTTCTTTCAATATATCCGAATAGGAATCATTTATAGTTGATGTATTGTTTTAGATATCTGGTTAATATTATCTCTTGAAAAGGAATATTTTACACTACTTTTTAACATGCTATTGTGATTTTAATTATCTGATATATACATCTGTTTTAGATTTGCTACCTATGTACTTACTTAAACATTTATTGGTGATGAGATTTCTTTCCAGATCTAACGAAATATGCATATAAAAAAATTACATCCATATTAAAATATTGGAAATTCGGTGTAGTTAACATTCTGAAATACTTAACACTATCACTTCCTCACAGTACTTCTGATGTGAAATTACTTTGAACTCACAGAATATATTTTATTTTACAGAAACATGGCTTTTACCTTTATGTGTAGTAAGCAATAAAAATAAGAACGTCAATGCAACTTATATATAAAAACTGGAATAGCAAGATATTCGCAATGAAAAACTTAGTTTTTGAATAAAAAATAAGGTTTTTCAGGTACTTAAAACTTTGAATAAATATTTCAGATATTTTCAAAATTTGATTTGAGAAATCAAAAAATGCTTAGTTTTATAAAAGAAATTTAAAAAAATCATTTTAGATGAATCATATATATATAGTTATATATATATATGATATAGTGATATACATTCTAAATTTTGTATACATATTTTAATTTAGAAAAGCAAATTATGCTTATTCACAAGATTTGGGCACGTAATCATGTAAATTGTAAGCTAAATTTTCCATTAAATAATCATACTAGTTGGAAAAGTAATTTATTAAAAATAGTTCTTGACAAATTTTATAATGAAAATTTGAATGTGTTAGAACAGCTGATCATATATATATATGTGTCAGTAAACCTGTATCATAATCTGATAGATTTAACTTCTTAAAATGCTACTTATAAGTGAATATATTAATACAATTTGTGAATTGATGTTACTAGTAGTTTGTCTACTTGAGCATAATATGCATAAAAAATCGAATAATAAATTTTAATATACATTGAAGTAAGAAACAAATGCGAATTTAATTTCCCTTACATGAAAACTATTCAGCTTTATTTTCAATGTATGAGATTCAGAAAATAAGTAACCATAAAATACTCTCATGCTATTGTTTTTAGCTTCATATATTGCACAAAATATTGCAAAAGAAATGTTTCTATTTCTTATTACATAATTATGAAGAGCTTAAAATTAATTATTACCCCAAATTATGAATAAAGTCTAAAATCTTCAGTTAGCTTGTTACGCTTTCTATTTTTGAGAAGTTATATGCATACAAATTCCTATACATTAATCATTACAGGTGAATAAATGCTTACATATACTTTTAGACTATAACTTATTTTTATATATGCTAATTCCAAGTCTCATTTGGGAAAAATAAAGTAAATTTTAAAGTGAAATAATATGGATTATAGCTCACATGTGTAAGCTAAAAATTCATTTTTCATAATTCTGCTGAAAATTATTATGTATTTCATTTATTGATTAAATCCGAATAGGAATCATTACCATAACTGCTGCAGAATTATAATAATTTCAATGAACAAAGTATTTTAAATATAAGTGAAAACAAGCAATGCATGAAAAACTCTTTATTAGGAAATATATGTACATATATAAAAATGGAAAATATGACACTAAAATATGACAATAAAATGACATTAAAAGCATGAAATGTAATGCATGTACAAAATGCAATAAATTCACACTCAAACATGTATTTAAAGAGTCCACACAAGCTCTAGGAGTGCTGACATTATACAAAAGGCTTGCCACAAAATTATAAAAATTTGTTGATGTATGTGCATATTGAACGCTAAATACAAAATTAGTTTTAAATAGAATGTCAAATGCCTTCATGGCATGATTTGGGCATGCTATTAAGTGATTTACTGCTTTAATATAGAATGAACTTGTAATACACACTATAATGAGCTGTTTATTCTGAGCTGGTCCAAGAGATTCCATGTCTTCTATTCCCAGAAAATAAATAAATAAATTTCTTTATTAAGAATACATCCATTACCTATCTATTAGGACAAGTCAAATACCAATGAGCCATACTAGAAAGTTTATCTTTCCAATTAAAAAATATCGCCAGAAAATTTTTTCTTCTTTCAAAAATAAGTAATTCCTAGTAATTTTATTCACATAGAGGTCTTTTGCTTTTAGTTTCTGTAAAAATGCAGTATAAATACATATAGGAATATGTAAATATTATATTGATGCAAATATAGAATAGGATAGTCTATTTGTGCGTTGCTTCTTAATGAAAAATGTAATAAATAATGTACATAAAAATGTAAAAAGAACAAACTATATGGAGAATTAGTCTGTCTTTTCCTTATGAAAACAAGTATCATCCCTTCATAATAAACTATTGTTTGTTCATAATAAACTATTGTTATTGTAAAGATGTTTGTTCTTGATTTCATGATCGCTATAGTCTGGCTGGAAGTGTATCTTTTGAATTTCACCTTGAAGCAATTTTTCCATCACTTTACAAGTTTAAAAAAAAAAAAAAAAAAATCTATGTTCACTGTATATACATGCATATATATGATTAGTGTCATGCTTTAGATTTAGATCATATAAAGGCATCACACATATTACAAACCATCTTATTCTCTCGAAATATTTGCTAGTATGTAGGTGACATTCAAATCAATGCAATTCCAATTCTACAGAAATTAGCTAAATGACCATGCATCATCTGTGGGTACAATAGTCGAAAGCAGCCTGAGAAGATGAATTTTAGCCACATGAGGCCAAATACATTCACTGTTGTAAAATGGCTCATTTTAATATAATCTGCCCTCTTAAAATGAAAGTTAGTGCAAAGCATATCAAAATTCCTCAATACTTACATTTAGCAAATATTAGAAGTGCAGAATTTGGATTTTTTTTTTTTTTTTTTTTTTCAAATAACAGCCTGATGCTAAAATACTTGCTTTGCCTTTACCCTACAAAAATAAAAATAAAAGTATATATAAAAGACATATACTGGATAAAAATTGCATGTGAAATGTAATAATTAATTGAAACTATATAAATATCACACATGAACCTTTCAAGATAGAATATGTAGCAAATTTCAAAGGATATGCAGCTCAGCTCACTTACATATAGTATCAATAGCTTATTTACATATACATACACTGCAAACTAAAAATATTATCCTATGAAAAGAATTTTATAGCTAAGCATATGAAATTATTTTTTATGCATAGACTTATGCCAAATATTTACTCATTAATAATGAATAAAACCTTTTTCCCTCTTCTTTTTCCAATAATTTTAGCTGAGCAAAAGTTCTGTGAGCAAAACTAATGCTTTTAGGTCATCTATATATATATATATATATATATACACGTTTATTACATAATGATTACAAAAATATCATTAAAAAGGCCTTTGGCACTAGAGGCACATGCATTTACAGCTTACCTTTACGAGCCAGAAGAAAAAAACTATAAGCCATTTAAGAATAAAGACCAATGTGAGTAATAGATGCAAAATTACTTTACTCTAGGTAATTAAAAAGTAAACAAAGAAAAGTTTTAAAGTATTCTATCATTTATAATCCTAATTAAATTCTATCATTTATAATCCTAGTTAAATTTTTAAAGATTTTTACCACTGAAATCAGCAATACTTGGTACCAGAAGATCAGGGCGTTTTGTTTCCACATATTTCAAAATTCTTGGGACATAAAAAGATGAAAACTGTTTTTTAAATGTCTATCATTAGAAATTGTTTCAGTTTCGATATAATTTCTTACATGGCTATTAGACAAAACCATTTCAATTGTTTTTATGACTGAAACATACTGAAATGTTTCTTTTACAATTTTGGTTTCAAATTGACCTGTTTTTGTATTCAGAGCTTGATCCAATCTACTGCCAAGCATAATTTCGACAGGTTCGATAAAATTCTGACAGCTTTTCAAAGCCTTTATTTGTCCTTTAGTTGCTGACATGCCATCAAAAATCTGCCTAATGGGAAGGATGCCTCCGTGGAGGTCTTTGTAAGGCAAACTGGTTCGTATACACGTTACACATGGAGAGAACCACAAAAAAGTCCATGCAGCCAGCTCCTTCATGCGATTCAAACTCTGGACCGAACTACCAGTGCTCAGCGACTTTGCCGCTGGTGGGTAATATTTAGGGAATGTGCATTAATGTTCGGAGAAAAAGCATGATATTAAGCATTTGTAAGTAAACAGCCTGTTAAACATGGTATTTAGGGCATATAAATTAAAATGAGCGCAGGGGCGTAGCTAGAGGGGGGCAAGGGGCATCTGTCCCCGGGCGCAGGATCCAAGGGGCGCCAAACTGATGTTACGGCATTTTAGAATTAAATGTTTTCCATCCTTGGCAAGCAGTAGGGGGCGCGAAATCTTCAGTTGTCCCTGGGCGCTGAAAACCCTAGCTACGACTCTGAATGAGCAGCAAGAAATATAATATTAAGCATACGTAAGTAAAATTTACATAAAGTAAATATTAGTTACTGAAATCAATTTGGCCTTCCCCCATTTTCTCAAAATTGTCCAAAAACTGTTCCGTTAAGAAAATTTTCGGCAACATATTATCTTAGAAGGAAACATTCTTTAAACGCAATTTAATATTTCCTTGACTGTATCTCAACCATTATGCTTAATTTCATGCCGAGACAAGTACTCGAGTATGCAGTTTTGTAAATTTTCTTTGCAAACACTTTAAAATCACTTTTAGGAAACATAGCACGGAAATCAGACAAAATAATAATAAATTGAAAAAAAAATGACACATGCAAATAAATTTTGAACAGCAGCGAAAGAAAGCGAGGAGGCCGCAAGAGAATTCTACCAGCTTTGTGCTTTTGCAGCGTTTACATTTACTGGATTCTTTGCGGTAGTGTTTTCGAAGGCAGGTGGAAGGATGGTAACTTTGAACTTCTGCAGTTCATAAAATTTCAGAATGCAGTTCCAAATACTGATATACATCTGTAAATTATTTTCATGACTGTTGCGAGAAGAATTTTGCAAAGTACAAATGGATTAAAAAACACAAACAAAATAGTACTTTACGGTATTAGAATTAATGTTTTATTTCAAAAATAAACCCAGATATTTTGTTTTTATATATATCATTTTGACATTTTATAGACATTTTTTTGTGCACTGAGCGAGGCAGCAAGAACTCTGGCTACACCTCTAACAGTGTTCACATAACTTAGTTATTGAAAATGTAAACAAGCTGTGTTACCTGGGTCTTTAAATCCTATCTAAACCAGAAAATGAATTCATATGAGTTTATTAAAATCAGGTTACTTACATTTCTTTCCTACTTTAAAGGACTGTGCATAAGAAAAGGTTTATAAGACTTGTTTGATACAACAATAGCTTTTGCTAATGTAAACAATTATATTATTTTGAACATTACTTCATCAGATCCTCTCACTCATTTTAATATCACTAGGAGAAGATATAATAACTAATTGAAATGAAAAGGCAATAATCTTGAAAAGTAATAAGTAAATGTCATTAGTTTAACTTTCTAACTATTGAGTTGATGTATATGAATTAATCTATGAATCATTTTAGAATTATCATGTTTAAATTAGTATATATTTCGACAATTTTGAAAGTATGCCTGACAAGTTTTCTTAGGGGGAAATAAATAAATAAAAATAACCCGTCGAATTAGGTTTTCTCCCGCAATAGAAGGGAGGAGAAGCTGTTTTTTAATTGTGCATTTTATTATCTGTTAATAAAATAAGTTAATTTTTTAAATATGATAGGCGCTGCTGCCACAAATATAAGGCAATATTGCTTAATTTTCATATTATAAAATAAAAATGCATCAAACATTTAGGTTTTATGGCTTACATATAAAAAAGTCGTTTTGTTTCAGTTGAAATAAAAATGTTTAGACGTGTACGAATTTTACTATTTAATTAAGTTTGAAAAAAACATGCCTTACATTTTTTAAAAATAAATACTTTTTTTTTAATTTTCTTATTTGCATTAAAAGAAATAAACATTTGGTGTACATATTATATATTGGCATATACGTATATTTGTCAGTAAACACATATTTAGCATAAAATAAATACATGTATATAGCATATAAAGTCAACTGAATATCTGGAATTTTCAAAAATCCGGACTAGGTATAGTAATTTAAAACAGAGTAGAAAATAAAATTACCTTTTAGGACATTAACAACATCTTCGGGAATTTCTTGCAGTTATAAAAATCTGATAATTTTGAGCTATCATGTAATCCTTCCTGAAAAAAAAAAAGTATTTTATTGTGCTACAGTTTAAAAAAAAAGATAAGGGGCAGATAAATTTCACAATTTGCTGTGGCACAAGTATTAGGAATATAGAACCTATGTAGAATGGACAAGGTACTAAAATTTTACGCTTGGTCTTTGACTGAAAATGAATTCTCATTAAATAGTTATCTGCATGAATTACCTGGAATATTTAATAATACAATAGTTTTCAGTTTGTCATCAGAAAATCAAAACTTACTATTTCTTTTTAAATAGCTGAGTTTTTTTTTAAGTCCAAAGGGACAATTCTCCCAGAAGGACTGTTAATTTCGTTTTGGCATTTTCCATCGATTCCCGATATGTTTCATTTCAAATTGCTGCCACCAAACATTATATTTAAAGAAATTAAATAATGAAGAATCTGCAGGAATGTATGTATGTTTCTCGCATTGTAATAAAACAACGGTACCTAGAGCCAACAAAATTTGAATAAGGTAATCTTCCATAGAATATGGGCATGTGGAAGCCCTAATTTGAATTTGAAATTGGTTTTATTATTTGCTTTATTATTTAATATTTTGTAATACGTCAACGAATTTTTGATTAACAAAGTAAACGATTTCAAAGCGAGCAATGGCAATACTGTACGAGTGAAAAATATATATATATATATATATCTCCAGCTCGAGAGACTCTGTATTGGAAATTCTAAAGATATGTTCATTTTAAAATTATTTTGCGATATTGCTGTTGAATGTTTTTATGGTTTAAGTGCGAAGAACATGATATTTAATAAATAAAGGTAACACACAAAATGTTAAAAAAACGCCCCTTTGGACGTAATTTAAAATCTGAAGCTTTCAGTCATTTTAAAAAATGCAAGATTTTTTTTAAATCGTAAACGGAAAGCCGTCTTAGCAGCTTTATTGGCCTCCCGGACTTTTGAATGTTCAAGAGGCCTTAGCTACACCTACACTCTCGAGAATAACAACATGTTTGCAAAAATATAAGTTTTAGAATGCTGATATGACCCAGGTAGTGCTAGTATTTATATTTTGGAAAAATTCAGCTTTGCAACAGTAAGTGAATTTTATTGTCACAAACTATAAGCAGAATTTATAAAAAATGAAAGTTAAAAATCTATTAAAAACTACTAGAATCTGAAAACGATATGACTTCAATAGGAAATTCAGTAAAGTATACGGTTTTTATTTCTTCCAATACTACCAAATAATTTACACACTTGTGTTATAAAAAAAAAATAAAAACTTTAGTATGCATTTTTTTTTTCCACCGCTGTTCTTCCTATTTGAATAGGAATGCATGCAAAACTAAATTTAAATAATTAAATTCGATAGCTTTGTGTAAATTGTTCAAAAATAAAAATAATGTTAAGAATTATTTACAAAAAGTACCATCCATACGTACAGCTTTCATTGTGTTAGCAATACATAATAAATAAAACTACGTTACAGCATTACAATCTTAAAGCAAATTTACAGACACCTAAAAAAAAAAGAGCAAACTAAAACTACTTTTTATTACATACTTAAATTTTGACACATAAATCTAACTATAATTTATAATATTTAAGATATTTATATTAAGAAATAATTGTATATATATTTTAAAAGCGAACTTACTTTTGGCAAAGGAGCTGTATCCATTGTTACGACTGTCGTCGCTTGAAATGGCGCTTAGCCAAAGAACGTTCTTTGGCTTAGCAAACTTGTTTGGTCAGTCTGGGTGGACAATGGCAAGACAGGGGGTCGTCCTGCTCCTTCAATTCACTTCCTTCCTCAAGGTTATTATTGCAAGTGGGAAACATGTTCTGCTACCAAGACAGTAAATTTGCGTTGTTTGACACGAAACGGAGCGAAAACTGCTGTCACCCTCCAAATCCCACTCTGCGAGATTTAGAGTGTAACGTGCTTTACTTAGAATATCATCTGCTTACGATGAGAATTTTCAGTGATGTTCCATTTCAGATTTTTCCATTTCATATTTTCTGTACATTGCAACAAAATCCGTGCCACTTCAAGCTTTTTTGTCCTTCTGCAGGCATTTGGATGAGAACATCAAAAATCATGCCATTTCAGCATTTCTTCCTATTCTGTCTAGTACAGTCTATGGGATGGGGAGGTCTTTTATGGGAGGCAACTATTCAAAGAACGAAGCTGGAAGAAACTATATCATTTGCTTTATTCTGTGTGATTATTTCCTAAAACATTTCATGTTTAACGAATTAAATATGAATGCTAGTGACATTAAAGTTGTATCTAAACAGTTTCTGAACTTTAAAGGGTAAAGCATCATCGTGACATCACTTAATACATAATTTACAGTTACTCCCCTCATATCTGTCTCACAATAAGAGGGGGCACACAGAAACGGGGCAATTATCAAAAACGTATGATACGGTAAGACCTGAAGTGGGACATAAGCGAATTTCCTATTGCAGTTAAGCGTTTGCTCCGATCCAGTGAGCCTTTGCTGTTTTGGATTCAAAAACTGAGCAAAGAATAGTAATCAAGTTTTGTTGTAATTACAGCAAAAGCTCACTGTCAATCTTTTTAAGATATAAATTAGCCCACTAAGTGGTTGAGTGGTAAGCCAGGTGTCTAACAACCTCAACACTGGTTGTTAGACCCCCGACTTGAATGCATGCTAACTCAAGCCGCAAATGAATTTAGCATGCCAGTAAAGATTTAAAATGAAGAGGTACGACGATACTGTAATTTAGCTTTTCAACTTGCACTTATCACCAAAACCTTCATGCCGTATCATTGTAATATTCAGAAGCTACCCGGTTACAATAACCAGTCCATACCATTGTAACTCCATAAGTATCAGATTCCTTTAGCTACCAGAAAATAGTCTAGATAACAAATCTAAATATATAGAATAAGTTTTTATTATAAGATTTATAATAAGTTTTTATTATAAATCTAGATATATAGAATAAATTTAAGAAAAGTATCAGATTCCTTTAGCTACCAGAAAACAGTCTAGATAACAAATCTAGATATATAGAATAAGTTTATAAACCCTGATATATATAAGCGAAAGAATCAGTTTTGTCTTTCTTTGATTGAAGAAGCGAAAATTCTGTTTAATTTAGAGTCAAGAACATCTTATCTTCTAGAACTTAGGTCAGTGGATTAGTATGCTATTCACGAATGCGTCACGTTTAAGAAAGCACTTAAATTTTCCACAAACAATTGCCTGGAGAAAGCGAGATTTAAGATATTATCACAACGATATAACCGGAAGAGAAATGTTTCGTATAGTAGCAACAGATTGGTGCAACTCCGTTAAAGGTCATACAAGCTATCATGTATTTGCAAGATAAATTCTGAAAGGTCGAGGTGCGTGATCTGTATATTTATTTTTCTAGGAAGTAATTGCTTCAGATATTCTATTAACGGATCAAACCCTTCATTTGCATTTATCCCTTCCATTAAATAAACATCAATAAGATAATTTTCTATGAGGAATCATCAATAACTCCTTCATACCTGAACTGTGCTTACATATGTTTAGAAATATCTTATATGATAACGTATAATATCATTCTTCCTTTCTTAGAAGTCAGAAAGACCTTTAGAATTCCTCTATGTTAGAGGATAATAAAGAAGGAAAATTTATATCTTTTGACAATCCAGAGACCATAAACAGAGACAAAGACTGAAAGGTCCGTAGTACATCATAGCCGCTGCTTGTTGCATTCTCTGTGCTCGTTAGACAGTTCTAGGCTTGAGCTAGTCGATGATGAAATTTCTTCTGGAACGTTCAAATTTTCGTACAGCAATTTATCTTTTGGGACGGGATAGGGATCTTTCAGTATTCTTGGCCGACTAGACATGGAAACTGAGAGTATAGAAACTCCATAGATTCAACAGGAAAGAAGTTGAGCGATATCGAATTGCATCGAAGAATCGTCAGCGACAAGGCAGCAAATGCCATTAGAACACACCCTCGTAAACTGTCATTCGTTAACCTCGCAGCTTAATGTAGCAGAATATAATATCCACTCAATATAGAAGATCTTCAAGACATCCGTTTTCAGTGAGAATCAGTGAAAAAAATGAGAATCTCCAACGCTTTATACGAGAACAGCAATTTATACATGCAGTACCCAATGACTACCTTATCAGCAGTTTTAGAAGCATCTAACAGTGTTTTTAACTTAACTTCTGCTTGATAAATACGGGGGCTTAACACTGCTAGTTTTTTGAGGGGGTTCAAATTTAGGGAGACTAGGATCATAACCAGGGAATAATGTGGTACGCATTGACAAACACTCTGCATAAATTTTGGCTTATTTAATGACGTGTAATTCCTCCTGTTACACAGTGTTGTGTTCTCTGAGTTTCATTTTATAGTTGTACACGTCTCTGTCATCTATAAAGAACAACTACCACAACCTGTTCTTTTGTTATTTTTAGAGGCATATGTAAAAATGAGAGAATCCACATAGAGGCTCGCAGCTCAAACTGCAATTAATATCGAAGAGTCTAGGGTTACATGGAGGTTCAGTGTCACGATGTTCGTAATCGCTATATATATAGGTATGTTTCTACAAGATAGTAGTATGCTAGAGTCAACTTGTACAAGTTGTACGTACAAGAGCAGCTAGCGCGTTGCATGACCAAGTTTAATGGGAATAAACTTACTAAGACTTTTAAATCATTCGTAGAAGCTGTCCTGTACGCACGACATATTCTAAGTAAGAAGAGTCCCTGACATATTTGCAGATGATTTATCATTAATTGCATTATGAGTTCTGAGGTTCCATACGGCTTTACCTTTGCAAGGCAATCCGTTCTGCTACTGAACTGAGCCAGATTTTCTGCATCCTGGTTAAAACTACCCATGTAAAGTCCATAGTTCTTTGCCCCAAATTCGAAAGCTTTATTAGTTTAGCCTTTACTTATTTGATAGGGGAAAGTTCAGTTGATCATCCATTATGATGCCAACGCATTTAAGATTTTGAACAACCTTAACTGAAGTACCCATTAAAAGGAACAATGTTCTTGTGAGTCGAATGCCATGTCTTGTGAGTTGAACACTGATTACTAGTGCTCTTGTTTTATTAAGCGATATTAGTTTATGCTACTTGGTCCAATTGCTAAAGTTTTAAGTTTTGTTGGCATTAGCTTCTAAACGGC